TGTGAGTTCGAGGCCAGCCTGGGCTACCAAGTGAGTTCCAGGAAAGGCACAAAGCTACACAGAGAAACCCTGTCTCGAAAAAACTAAAAAAAAAAAAAAAATGATAAATTTGACTCTGGTTTCCAGCCTCTTATTCCTCACTGCTAAGATCTCATCAGAAATGCCTTTTATGTCCATGTTACCACCAATATTCTGAGTGATAAGAGAGGGTAAAGTGTGGGGGGGGGGTTGTGGAAGAGAAAAAGAATGAAAACTGAGGTCCTAGTCCTGAAAGCCAGATTATAAGTGTGGACAGAGCGCATGAAAGAGGAAGAAGGTATGATACCACAACTGAAGGACAGTTTGGGGACCCGAGACTGTGGATATGAGGCAAGCAGAGGTTCAGCAGGAGCTCTGCAGCCAAGGCTGACCCCTGAGCCCAGAGCCAAGTGCAGGGACAGATAGAAGAGTAGACCTGGACAGAAGTCACAAGGGGTTGGTAGAAAGGACAGTGGTAAAGGGCATAACACATTCCCACCCCTACTCCCACTGCACCCATGTACTGTTTTAGTGAAAGCCATTGCAGATAGAATATCACAAAAGAAAGAAACGGCAAGAACACGATTTGTGGAAAGAAGAAAGAACATACGGAAGTGGAAGAAAATGGATCTAAGATTTTTCTTTGAATTTAGAACTGAAAAGTCATAAAAAAAGATTTTGAGGGTTCAGCTGTTTCATTTGTAACCTGAAAGTTAGAGTACCCATGACAGCCATCAGTAAAAGGTTCAAAGGACAGAATGCATGTAAAGCATTGAAGTCACATGAAGTGGCATTTTATAGGTCAAAATAGGCATCTTTGTATGCATTAAACCAGCACATATTTCTCTAATAGGAACACAACAGCTGTGATAATTAAAGAAGGTTAAATAGTGAAATAAAGGAGGAAGCTTGATTTGTTCCTGGCTCATCCCTAAATGTCCATGTGCATTTAAGACACATTGCTTTCCCACCTCAGTCTAACCAGCTGGACTGTGAGATTGAGCATCAGGATAAGATGTTTTAGAATCCTCCTCCTGAAGCCTGGCTGTTCCAGCACTGTTCATCTTACACCCTAAGAATGCCGACGGGAAAAACTGAACTGCCTTGTCTATTAGTCAACTTTTCTACTGCCATGATAGACTATAAGAACCATACTTTAAGGAAGAAAGACATATTTTGTCTCATGGATTAAGAGACATTAACCTATACTCACCTGCCTCTGTGCTTATGGGCACATGCTCTGAGGGCAGGCTCTATCTGAGAGGAAAAAGACAGAAGTACTTGGCAATAAATAATCTAGTCAACTGCCCCCAGAGGATGAGTCCATACCTGCCAACCTCAGTCAACTATTTCAAATGTAGATGAAACATTATGGAAGGAAATGAGATGGTATCAAATTTCAGCAATGGGGCTGTTTGCTTAAATTCAAAACCATGAGTTGAATTTTCTTCTAGATTAGTCATCTGAATATGTTGTCACATTAAATTAGGGTTAGAA